CAACGCGCTGGGGATACTTTAACGAAAATTGAAATATACCAGTCGTGTTAAAAATAGGTTGAATATGATCCACAATATACGTAAATGACAATCGCACGTTTCTATTTTGAGCCTGGTGGCTGTATTTTTCGTTATAAACGGCCCACTCTGGCAAGCGTTCGGAGAGCAGCCAGCGGAGGGCACGTGACATCCGACGCAATCGTGACGTAGTTCGTCTCGGGACGAGTAAAGCCGCGGCGAGGCTGACGTCGAGAGGATGGCCTAGTCGTTCCAGCCACCGAAGCGGCTGTTTTTGTCCGAATTTTAAGGGACGGGTTAATCTCCTAAATTCTTGTAGAGGGACAATAGCGACTTCTGCGACACACAAAAGGCATTCTCGGGAAGAGGGGAGTTCCTCCTTTCCCTTTTCTCTCGTGGTGGCCGGAGGCGAGACAGTTGTCGTCACTACCTTTCAAGGTTCCTGGACGGGCATTACAAATGAGGCGTTAGCGACATCCAGCAGGTGCTCTTTACTAATCGTTTAATTCGTTTAAAAATTTTTCGCGTCTTTTTTAACAAGATATTGGTGTGTCCGATGTGATACTGCTCCCTTGAACACCATATAGACAAAAAAAAAAAAAATAAATAAACGTCAAAATTTCGTGTGTTTTTTTTTTTTTTTTTTTTTTTTTTGTTTTGTTTTATGAGTTGTTGGCGGTTGGCGGGCCGGGATATATCTGAAAGCGCGATTGCCTCCGCTTTCGTCAGAAAAGGCATCTCGCTTCAGTCGCTTGTGCGAGAAAGCGGACCACTTTTATTTTTCCACTAGTCGCATCATCTTGCTTCTGCTTCCTCGAGTCCAGTACTTCCTCTCTGAGCAAGTACTGGACACAAGGAGTCCTTCAGAATTCAGCACGAGCTCGACTCAGCTCGAATTGAAGACGAATGCAGCTGGCCTACACAGTATTTCTTGCTTCAGACACTAGGCTATAGTGGCGCCACCAGAGTAATAGCTCACGTTTGAACAATGCAGCTGCCACTCCCAGGCATACCCAATGTTTCTTGCTTCAGAATTGCTAGATAGCGCCAAACTAAACAGCAATAGAGTGTCCAAAATCCTAGCCCCCAGCGATAAAAGTACGGGGAGTAATAATCTCAAGCACAGGCTCTTCTGAAGAGAGGGGCTGCGCTCGTGTTGCTCTTGGAGTTTCCCTATGTTCCTGCACTACAATATGTGCGAAAGTTTCTAAAAAAAAAATGGACGCATTTCTACGTGGTGAATGATGTTGATCGGGGCGAAGCTCTGGCGGCTCTGGTGGTGCTGATCAGGGGCGGATGCAGGAATTTCCTGAGGGGGGGGGGGGGGGGGTCAGGTGTTGGTCAGCGTACCATATGTTTTGGAACCCCCTCCCCCTCTCCCTCATTTCACGCCCTAAATTTTACACATGTAAAAATCAAGAGGGGGGTCAGGACATCCGGACCCCCCCCCCTCTAAATCCGCCCCTGGTGCTGATGATGCTGATTTTATTGTTCATAGGTACTCTATGGCTATGATCTCTATGGCCAGAGCACTCTTTTTGCAAAGGTCTATATAGAAATCCATTGGGGTCTCCCCGCACAGGTTCGAATCTTGTCAACTGCGCAAACATTCTTTTTTTTTTTTTTTTTTTTTTTTTTTTTAAGACAGATGGGATGGCAGTTGATGTGAGCACGGACGCCGGACAAGGTTAGACCCTAAGGAGCCTCGCCTCTAAAAAAAAAAAAACGGAGTCTTGCGAAAAGCGCAGCCCCCCCCCCCCCCTTTTTTTTACTGTGTTATTGCGTCAGCACAAACAAACATTGCGGCGCCCATGGAACAGAGCAGACAAGCTATCCTTGCGTTTTGCCTGGCCTTCACGCGTTGCTAATGCAGAACAGTAGCCCACCACGGTCGTATCCCTGCAAATAAAGCCTGCTCCGTTTTCAAAAATGACAGTGCAGCTTTGCCCTCCTAATCTTTGCGTGAGTGTCCGTACCGCTGAGCTCACCCTGCTTCGTCATTTGGGGGGATTCATGCATTTGAACCCCCGAACCCCCCCCCCCACACACACACACACACAAATAAAATCCTAGGGCTACGCCACTGCTCGCATCCAATCACGTGCTTTGTGGAGAAGAAATCAAGAAATGACGATCATGAATGTTGCTTGATTCACTTTTTAAAAAGAGCATATTTTATGAGCCGCCTGCCCCCCCCTTCCAGAGCTCGTTTTCGTCCTTTTCTCTGTCCATTTTGTTGGGCAAAAGCACCGCAACGATCGACATCGCCGAGGGTGTTATTCCCAAGGAGGTTAGAAGTACTAGGAGGGGGCACGTTGCAATATTGGTGAAGCCTAGTCATAAAAAGTTTAAACGATTTTGTGCCCAGCGTGACCGCAGATCTCTCTGGCGATTGGTGCGCGTGACATGTCACGTGTGAGATGGATGGTTGATTGTAGAAGGACTCCTTCCAGGCTTGCGCGCGCTCCGTCCGGTAGGATTTATCAGATCGAAGGCTAGGCTGTGGTGTATTCTAGTACCCCCAGCAAGACGAAGTCAAGCTACGGTCACGTGATGTGGTCACGTTGGCATGGTAAGTGAGGAGAGTAAGGAGGAAAATGAGAAAGAGGCGAGGCGTCAAGGGAGCATGGCTTGCGGAGGCTACGCGGCCGACGTCATGCCCTCTCCTACCCTTCTATTCTCCATGGTTATTCCCAAGGAGCAACGTTACTAAAACACTCAGTTGGGAAACTCGCCGTCGAAACCTGGGCCGCTGGCGTCCACCGAGACCGAGCTAAATGCGACAACAGCGCCACTCTTTATCATTTGTCTGTACTGTGGTCACACCTTGAGCTTTTTGAAAGCCTGTTTTTGCGTAAAAACAAACGAAAAAGGCTCTTTATGTATGAAATTTATTAGAGTTCAGCACAAAAAAAGGGGCGCGTTATGTTTTTAAAATCTTTAGTTTGCAGGGTTTTGCGGCACAATTAATATTGTTTTTATACAACCATGCCTCAGCGGGCCTTTCAGGTAGCACGTCCCGCCCTAGGTGCATTTCAGCTTTGGTAGGTGAATGCGGCGCGTCCGCCGGGGAGACGGGGGTGGCACGTGGCACCCCCGTAACCTCTTCCGCTATATCTGTACGTAAAGCCATAATAGAAGTCACGTACAGCTCCTCGAGTGGCCGCTGCGAATGAAATGGTGGCGTTGTGTTCGTCATTAGCTCGGTGCTCGGAGACAGATTGGGGCCACTTTTTCAAAGCTGTCTCTATGGGAGTTTCCTAACTGAGTGTTTTAGTAACGTTGCCAAGGAGGTTAGAAATACTAGCAGGGGCACGTTGCAATATTGGTAAAGCCTAGTCATAAAAAGTTTAAACGATTTTGTGCCCAGCGTGACCGCAGATCTCTCTGGCGATCGGTGCGCGTGACATGTCACGTGTGAGATGGATGGTTGATTGTAGGAGGATTACTTGCAGGCTTGCGCGCGCTCAGTCCGGTAGGTTTTGTCAGATCGAAGGCTAGGCTGTGGTGTATTCTAGTACACCATAGCTAGACGAAGGCTAGCTTTGGTCACGTGACGTGAGGAGAGTAAGGAGAAAAATGAGAAAGAGGCGAGGCGTCAAGGGGAGCATGGCTTGTGGGAGGCTAGGTGGCCGACGTCATGCCCTCTCCTACCCTTCTATCCTCCTTGGTTATTCCTATGTATTTTCTGCCATCTGAGGGCTGAGGCTTTTCTTTTTGCCTTTTTTTTGCATTTGCGAAATAAAAAAAACATTCTACACTAAAATCAAACGAACTGGAAGGTTCCTTGAACATTATGTGTAGCCACTGGGCGCATAATGCGAGCGATGTTTCAAACCACGTTTCCAAAGTCTGGGAAGCACGAAGCAGACGACACGAAGGACGACCGTGTTGCTTGCGTCTGCGGTACCCGCGGAGTGATATGCGACCAGCACATCTCTACTTGAACCAGACAATGCGTAGCTACGGCCTGGCTACGGCTAGCGAAGGGACAACGTTTTCGTCTGCTACTATGTCTATGTTATACCGTGGGCATGACCGGCATACTACGTCTACCCTGGCAGCACCATTGTGATACTCTGCTCTGTTAGTGGAGCATATAGTTACTCTACATCAAGCAAGCCACGTGTTCTTTTCGTTTTTGTTTTGTTTAAACAATCCTTCTTGGTCTTTCTGTCTTTGTCCCATTCAACTTCGACATTCAAAACATGCAGAAGTAAGGTGGAACCTCGCATGCGAGTACTGTTCCAGTCAGCGGCGTAAACTTTCCATTTTCCCGGGGGGGGGTGCAGGCTGAGAAGTTCTCTGAGCGAGGCGGGATGGGGGGGGGGGGGGGGTGTTGCGCGTTACGTTTCCGCTAGAACTGGAGATTGAAGCTAACGAAAGCACGCTGGGATTCCATTTCCCATGTATTTTGTCAATAAAGGCAACGTGGGCGTTTTGTTCACATGCCACTACTATAGAAGCTCGTTACATGGCAAGTGAACAGCGTCTCGGTAAAGATCATGGCTCGGGCCCAGGGGGGCTCTGCACCCCCCCCCCCCCCCCCCCCCCGGATCTCACCAGGGGAAGCACGAGCCCCGATGCCCCCCCCCCCCCCCCACCCCCCCCGAAGTCTACGCCTATGGTTCCAGTAATATCACAAACAAAACAATAGTAGGCAATTGCTAGTTAAGTACTAGGACAGAGTAATGTGCATAGAGCAATGTTTGCGATCAACCGATAAGATGAGAAAACTAAATTCTCGTAGTATATTTACTCGGCTGCTCCTGTATCTAGAGCTTGACTTTTTATTACCATATGTTTCACTGCAAAATGATTAATTTCGAATGATTTGCCAGACCAAATTGCATTTTTAACGGAGTTAACGAAACATGACTGAAGATAGATGTATGATTGGAGCAATGAGTAAGCAGCTTGAACAGTACCCTCAGCTTAGCGGCGAACAAAGCAAAGTAAACAGTACTCACGACGCAAGCATCTGCCTCGCCATGTATCTTTTTTATTATCATTGTCATCATCATCATTATTTCGAGCGCGAATGAGAAAAAGTAAAGAGGACCTAATATTCACAGCCACTATACACGACGGCTGCCAGGAAGTAGCAGGCGACGCCCCCTGGCGGCATATTAATGAGAAAAAAAAAAACATGATATAACAATAACTGCATGCACAACGTGCCAGGATTGAAAAGGTTCTCTGTCCGAGAAGATCGCACCACCGAGCGGTTCTCTGGGGGTTCCCCGTGCGTTCCCGGGTCTCCCCGCGTGAACCGGAGAATTGAAACAGGTCGAGAAGGTTCCGGACACCGTCGCCTAACTGTCGTCGGACACAATTTTCTTTTTCGTCGCGGGGCAAAAATGCACGTTTCCTCGCATAGGCTCTCACAAAACTCTGCACAACTTTTTCTGCCAGTCCATCAACCCACAAAAAGAGACAAAAAAAATAAAAGGCAGAGAAGAGCTCCGGGGCTTTCGCGGCATGGCGCGCTCTTGGCAGAGTTGTCTTCGACGCAAGGGCCGCCCTGCGATGCTCCTCTTCAGCCAAAAGAACATCCAGTGCTGCAATAAATAGTAAGAAAAAAAAAAAAGTGACAAAAGAGCGTATGTGGTGGCCCCCTTGATAGGCACCGGTCTCGCAGTCTCAGGTCGACGTTCACTCCGAGGCAACTCTAAGCCAGAAGACGCTCGCGATGGCCGGTCGTAGCTTCCCGTTTCCCCGCCCGGCGCTCTCTCCACGCGACTAACGACGCCATCTTCTTCGTCCGACCAGATGATAAAAATCCACGATGGAAAGATTCGCAGAGTCCCCAAAGCACTGAATAATATCTATATATATATAAAAAAAAAAGAACGGAAAGAAGAGACCGAAACAAAGGCAACGCGATCTACGTCGCGAGCACGTGAAGCGAGAGGGCAGAGAGTTCGTTCTGGGCTTGGAAACAAAGCCCTCCCACGGAGACTTTCCTTTTTAAAAGTATCACAGCTGGAGTGCAGCGGCGGTCCGAAACAGTGCGCCATTGCAACTTTGTCGTCGTCGTTTTCTTCTTGCCTGGGTCCACCAGACGCGTCCTCCGCGTCCCTTCCGTTCCGCGAGAAGTTCTTGTGAGAAGAAGTGGCGGGGGTACGACGACCGAGCGGAAGGAAGAGGACTGTGTCGCTTTCTCTGTCGACGGGACGTCCCGGCACAGCGGCGCCGGCGGTGGTGGCGGCGGTGCTAGGATGACGCCGACGGGTGTTCGCCGTGGGGCAGCATCTTGAGCAGGGCCTGGACCGTGTCCAAGAGCGGTTCGAAGGGGTCCTGCTCCGAGGACTGCTGCGGGGGAGGAGGGGGCTCCGTCGGACTCTTGGGGCGGCCTTCCTCCTCTCCCTCCTCCTTGATGGGGCTCTTGGGCTTCTTGGGCGGCGGGCTCTCTGGAATCGGAACGGCAGATTCGTTAAACACATGCTGCACGCAGAATCAGACCCAACAAAGGAGCGTAGGTTAAAGCGGCGCTTCTCAAGCTTTTTGGAATTGACGAGCGCATCTCTGCCTCTCTCTACTGATGGCAGCCAAAAAACCCCTTCTAGATTTAGATATGATGTAGTAAAGCACAGCAGAAGCCTACAGACCTTGTAAAGAATAACACACATACTAGGGAATATATGGCACTCAGTTACGCATCAATGTATGGCTCAGATCTTCTAAAATAATGCTCGAACTCTGAGAACGCAAGGAAACTTTGGAGCTCAGGGAAACCCTCGGTTCCCCCAAGTTAATGGAACAGAACAGCAAAGAAACCTGTCCTGTTGTTTATTCTCAAGCACTATAGTACAAAAAACATACATACAGAAAACATCACCTAAACATTTACCAATGAAAAAGCAGTGAGTGCGCAGGCGAGCTGGTGGAAGTTAATCATGATGTAGAATACCCGAGACTGTGGTAAAAGCTGGAAAACTTGGTCGAAGAAAAAAGACAGGGGAAAAGAACGTTGAGACATTCTTTTCCCCTGTCTTTTTTCTTTGACCAAGTTTCCCAGCTTTTACCACAGTCTCGGGTATTCTACATCATGAGAAACATTTACCGCAGTTAAGATTTCAGAATAAAAGGGCAAAAGCCCATTATGCAGAAGCTGCACTTTGGACGCAGTTTTACCTAAAGGGGCACTAAACCACTTTCTGCGATAGTCTATTTATGGTCACGACTCTATCTGTGGGCTCTATGCATCCTAAAAAAAACAAATATTACGTTCATGCAAGGTCAATTTCTCCACTAAATTCGACATCAAAAAATAGATTACCTCAGAATTAACTGACACCAGAGGGCGCCACTGCAAGAGGAAGGGCAGGGCTCTGCCCTTCCTCGTCCGATGGCACCATCTGGTGTCAATCTTTTACAGTCGAATCTCGTTAATTCATACTCGAGAGGGACTGAAAATTTGTTTGAATAAAGCAAAGTTTGAATTACCGGGAGTTTCCTCCCATAGAGAGACATAGGATGGAACCTGCATGTTAGCTTGAATGATCCGCAAGTTTGATTTAATTAAGAGTTTGAATTAATGAGATTCGACTGCAATACCAGTTTTAATAGAGAAATCGGCCATGCACAAATATGCTGTTTCTTAGGTTTTTTAGGACGCTTAGTACCCATAGATTGAGTTATGACCACATAGACTATCGCAGAAAGTGGTTTTGTGCCCTTTAGTTGAGAGTAACTGGCGATCTGATCCACGAGAGTTTCTGACATAGTGTGACCAAGAACCTAAACCAGCGTTAATCGTGTTTGGTTTCCTGTCACTTAAACATTAGTATTTATTTTTATTGAACCAATATTTCCCTACAGCAGTGTACATAACGCCCATCTCTAAATTTTACAGTCACTTCTTCAGATCTTTGAAACTGGCACGACGCCAGATACAGCAGCGAGCCATTTACCAGCCCCCTCTCGTCTTTGGGAACCCGGCAACGCATTCGAGGGGGCCGCACCTTCCGAATCCCGCAGCGGCTTTGGTTCCTCAGCTGGGGGCAGGTTTTCCTGGCAGTGCGCCTCTAGCGATCGCAGGTAGTCGGCCAATCCAAGACAAGCCGGTGCGACGCCCCCGTGCACCGACAGTACCAGTAGGACTGCTCTCAGGTCCTGAATGGGAAAGGAAGCAAAGAGCCATGTTCTACAACCTAGGGCACACACTGCAACGACCTGTCCCTGAACGCTCCCAGATCATACCTATACAGCACCATCTGGTGAAAGAAACAAAAGGCTATAATTGGTTGCTGGGAGCCTCGCCGGAGCAATGCAGATATAACTTGAGCTTTGACAAGTAGGAACCGGGCAGACGTACGTAACTCAAACCTTCGCCATAATTCTGCTGCAGTGAACTTAAAATTGAGAAAAATGTACATGCTCATCTCGTGACGTGACTATGTTCTGCTTCTTTCTACGAGTAAAGATTTTTTTTTTTTATTATTATAGTCGACTCGAATTCAATTATTTTTTAACTTGCTACACGGTCATTAGCTTATCAATATTCGCAAGTATGTTTCATTTGCAAGCTATGATAATATAACTAGAACAAAACACTACAAAATTCCATTGACTTTTTTAGAACTGTTCCTTCGTTAAGTGTATCAACAAATGGAACTGTCTATCAATGAATGCTGCGAGTAGTGGAAAAATGTCTGCTTTTCTGAATAATATTTTCAACTTTGGAGGGTGCTTTTACTTTTAACGTGCCTACCGACCCACTTTGGCCTTGGGCAGTATGGTCAAAATAAAGACAGAATAAAATTAATTACTGTCATTAACCCAAATGCTTCAGTCACAATCGTTATAGGCTAAACGTCTTAAACATCTGCAATTTCCAAAACATCCACATATTTCTGTGGAAGGATTTCAACTCAATTTCGGCAGAAGTGAGGGGCGCATCAGTGAAGAAACTGGGCCACTCACGGCAGTGATCCGACGTGCGTGTTTCCGGATGTCTCTCGCCGCTTCCGAGGCGACCAACGCGTTGGCTCGAGACAGGATCAGGTTGGTAACGCTCTCCTTGAGCACCTGCTTGCCCACCTGAGTTTCGACGGGGGTTTAGAATATTCAACGCCAAGCAAGTAGGAGGGGTGGTCAAAACAAACATCCCTAAAATCCTAGGCTTAGCGACAAAAGCAGAAATGTCAAGACCACCGTTTCGAGTACAATCGAGACAAAAAACAGCGCTGAACTAGCTTGGTGTTGGCCTAAACTTAGAAAACAAACACCAAGTGCCAACCGAACGAGCTGGCAGGGTTTGCGACGAGACTGCGAGATTTCTGTGCCAATACAAATGTGCGCATCGTTTGTGACACAGACCAAAAACAATGCGCCTCAATTAAAGAAAAACCGCATAAATATTGCGGGTCATCTGAAATGATGAGCTAAGAAGGAAAGTCAAGCTTTCTACTTTCAATCAGATACACACTTCAGAGAAATCGGATATCACGTGTCGAACCTTTGCAAATGCAGCAAGGGCATTATGGTACCCCATTGTTCTATTTTTAAGTCTTTATTTTGAGGCTGCACTGTACTAGCCAGAAAAGAAAACTATCAGGTGGCAAGAAAACTGAAATAAAATTTAATGCGTGGACAAATTAATAATTCTAATCACACACAAAAAAATATAAAAGTAAACCCGGAGACACATGGGAACAGTCATGAAAATTGCCAATGTCAGGCCCCCCAACGAAGCCCCGAAAAAACAAATTGCGATCGTCAAATTTTGCGGTGCTCTAGGCTTGGAAACTAGCCCTAAAAAAGAGCCTGCGCTAAAGGAATGTTAATGAAGTTGACCCCCAAGTACCGCACGAGAGGTCAAACGCCTCAAGCCAACCCGACAAAGGGCCGGTCGCGGCGACCGCAGGCTCGGCCGGCCTTACCTTCGGCACCAGCAACGAGAAGAGCCGAAAGACCATGGGGTTGTTCAGGTAGCCCCTCTCCTCGAGCAGCACCGCCGACACGCAGTTGGTCACGTACGTGCTGCTACGCAGAAACTCCCCAAACTCCACGCACTTCTGCAAGGAACAAGCAGAAAGAAAGGAGAGAGACAAACCAACATAAGCCCCCGTCATTCCAGTACTGCCATGGTGCCCAATACAAGCCCCCGGCCAGTCTGTTCAGTGTCCTAACCCACCCACGCATCCAGAGCGGTCTCGAACTGGTAACAAATGACGTCGCAGAAGACTAAGTGTCACGCTGTCGGACGTCGCGGTCCCGTCGGTTGGTCGTGAAAGCTCTGGCTAGGCAGACGAACGAGCGCGAGCATTGCCGTCGTCGCAGCGTCTTGGCTCCCAGATAGAAGCTTCCGACGACCGTTGCCCACCGCCGGGATTGCGGTGGGCGACGGCGCGACGCTTTTACGACGTTGCCGAACGGAAATCGAGGGGCCGCCTTCGGGAGAGCGGCGAACGCGCCGGCCCAAGATGCGTTTTAGGCACCCCGCTTGCGCTGAGAATTTTGCACTCACCTCTCCCTGGAGGATTTCGAGCCACAGCCTGGGGATGAGGTCGATGTGCAGCGGGACGCCCTCGATGGACACCATCGCACCTGCGCGCGGAGAGGGCGTCGTGATTTCGGGGGCACCGCGAGTGACGAATGGGCGAACAAAGAGACTGCTAAAGTCAAGGGCAGCCGCGGAGGAAGAAAGTGACGCATTGTTTCTCAGTGCGATCGCCACGGGACTGACCACACCTCAACCCTGTCCCATTCCAGCGAATTCACGTCTCTTGAAATAAAGCTAAACTTGCTGCTTTTGAAGACTCTGCCAAAGCCACAGAAGTGGCAAAGTAGTCCAACAAACAAACGCCGTAATGTGAAATACAAAAAGCTCATCCTTCTTGACTGAGAAAACCCTCCTAGGAGACCAAACTAATGGACCATACCTCATCTTACATTCGAAACCTTTGCAAAAGGGTTTCGAACCATTTGAAGCTCGCGTTCGGCCCCGATTGTTGACAAGCTCTTTCCAAGACAACTCACTAAGGTTGACCAGGTCTTGGGAGACCAGTCCCTGTGCCAAGGCTGCCCGGAACAGCGTCTCTACGAACTGGTGGTACGGTAGAAAGAAGTCCAACAGGGCCTGGTCGTACTCCAGGTCCACTCCCTGCACCGATGAGGGAGGCAGCAGGGCATAAGGACCCAACACAGTGGACAAGCAAAGTGCGGCATTCATTACTCTACAAAGCTACAAAGCTGCCCTCCAGCAGATACTGCAGCGATTCAATGTACCAAGCGAGACTTATCTAAAGGCCCTTCAATTCAATGTACCAAGGGTGACTGTTTAAAGGCCCTTTGGGGCTTTTAAGAAAAAATAAATGAAATGACCTAAATGGGCTGGATCAACAGCTCAGCTATAATTGGGGCCTACACAGTTACACTTGGTGACATCTTTTCTTGGCAGTGCAGTGGAGAGGAGGAGAGCTTGCGCGCAGCTTTATTCAGTGTTCAAAATGGTAGAGGGAATGCGTGCCTGTACCCTCCACTGCATTGCCAAGAAGTTGTCACCGAGTATAGTGACCAATTTCCTCAAAGAGGCGACAACCTCTACAGTTTGCCGCCAGTTTCTTTTAATGGGGCAGATGAACCAAAACCTTTGGGGCTTAAGTCGGCTTCGAGCCTTAACACCACGTCCCACGGTACAATGCCAACATGTTCCCCGTATAATGTTGGCAAGCAGCAGGGGAGGCACCCACCTTGGAGGCCTCCAGCTGGCTGAGATGCAGGAACATCTGGAGGATGGGCCGCTGTGGTCGCACGGTCGTCTTGACAGGGTAGCTCTTCTGACCCCTCCGGGGAAAGTAGGGCCCCGTTGTCACTGCGGAGGGAAGGACCCGTGTTTTGGTCGTAACTGCTTAGGCAGGGCACCCACCTAATCCCTCCCTACTTTTCCACATTGCTCTCGACCACTTCAGAAACTGCCCCGACTAATTTGACAAAAAGAGAAGAGTGAATGTCTAGCATGATAACAACAAACTTTATCGTTTTAACTTTCCTTTTTGGGGCTTGGACGAAAACTCTAGCAAAACATATTTCTGGGTATTGGAGCGACGGAATAATACATGCTCGGGGCTAGTCAAAGAGGAAAAGGCAAGCTTGCCACTAAAATGCCCACACTCTTGTTTACTGTATGCTGCCTGGCATATGAAAAGTAAGAAGAGTTCCTTAAAGGGGCACTAAAGTGCTTTTTCCGATCCTCATTTTATGGTCATAACTCAATCTACGAGCATCTACCGTAAAATCCCGAGAGATGCCCCACCCCCGAAAGATTGCCCACCCCTATTTTTGGCTTGATTTGCTGTATTTTTCTTAAGCACCAAAAGGTAGCCCACCCCTAGTAATCGTAGTGTTGGGATCAATGATTGCCTCGACTTAAATGCAGCTAGTTATCTATGGCGGGTATAAGCGAACGTTGCTGACTCGGAAGTATAGTCATCTTTGCTTCGTTGCCCCTTGTCACCATAACAAGCTTGGAAGGGACACATGACATAAAAATTGAATTTTTTCAACTTTTCTTGATTATACACCGAAAGTTAGCCCACTCCATATCTTCACCCGATTTGCTCTCGATTTTAGGTGGGCTATCTCTCGGGATTTTATGGTAAGCATCCTTTTCGAGATCTTCATTTTACAGTCATACCTAACTCAATCTACGAGTTCTAAGCATCCATGGCCGATGTGCATATTAAGAAAGTTATGAAAAACCCCGACACATATTGTTGGCACGGAGTGACAGATGGCGTTATTATTATGAAAAACCCTGCCAAATATGGTCGAACAACGGACGGCGCTTGTCGGCCACTTGCGAGCGGTGGGTTTCCGTGTGGACGGGCAGGACTGGTCGGCTGCTCGTTCACGCAGTAACCTATGGCTCGCGAGTGGCCGACAAGCGCCATCCGTTGTTCGACCATGTTTCGGCAAAGTTCGGTAGCTCCATCTGTCACTCCGCGCCAACGGTATGTGTCGGGATTTTTCATCACTTTTTTAATATGCGAATCGGTCGCGCATGAATGTAATTTCAGTTTATTAGGATGCTTAGAGCTCATAGATTGAGTTATGACCATCAAAGGAGGGGCACAGTGATAATTTAGACCCATGTTGTACAAAAAAAAAAAAAACACCTCCAAACTCCAGTCTAAAAACATGCTTTTTGTGTAAGGCTTATCAAATTATGAGGTTGTGTAAAAAAACAGCCTTCTGCATTAAGTCCTTACTTTAAATTCTTTTCGTTCGCGTTCTGCCCATCAAAAAGCATGCGAGAAGGGCCTCGGCAGGCACATCGTATCGCTGCGCCACAGAGTTCTTCTGCAGCATAAAGGCCGTCTGCTTTCATCGCCGTCAACATGGCAACGATCGCCAATTTTCCAAACGCCGTCTGCTAGCCAGAGTTTGTTAGTTTTGTAATGAGCAGCCACAGACTGTTGCCGTGAAGCAGCATGAACACAGGCGTGAAAGTGGGTTAGCACGCTCCCCAGTTATATACCCGCCGACCGAAAAAGTCATCCGGCATTCGCTGCCATGGTGACAGCGATGAAAGCAGGTGGCCTTTTTGCTGCGGAAGAACACTGCGGTGCGGTGATACGAGGGATCTGCTGAGGCGCTTCCCGCATACTTTTCAATGGGCGAAAGGAGTTCGAAATAAGGACTTAACGCAGAAGACTGGTTTTCTCCAGCACCTCATAATTTGACGAGACTTAAACGAAAATAGTGTTTTTTAGGCCACCCACTGCCGTTTTTTTAATCCATAACATGGGTCTAAAGTACCAAACTGCCAAACGAGGATCTCAAAGAGCACTTTCGTGCCCCTTGTAAATGTCTTGGCATCCCCACCAAGTGTGGCACTTGTGCGTTTTCATATGTTGCAAACTTGCATCAACAAAAGGCACGTTTTCCATCTTCTTTTTTTCTTTCTGAGAAGCTCGGGCATGAGTCTTTGAAAGTATGTCCACCCACAAACGATCAAATGAATAAATCGGTATTAAAATTACAAAGATCCTTCTGGCTATGTTGCGCATTAAATGCCGTGCTCTTCACACAGATTCTAGAAATCGGTGTCGAGGTTTTTACCGTGGGTAAAGTGAGTGGCAGTTGAGTTGAGTGGTATATCACTCAACTCTCGAAATATTACAGATCACACGGCTATGAGCTTCGTTAACTGTACATGCACACCGCACACACTTGTGGGAGTGTTTTTCGAATTCGTGGGGGTGCGTTTTGGAGGTTGACTTTTTCCCACAGATTCCGTATTTTTCAGTGTCAATCTTTGGGGTCGAAATAAAAGTAGGGGATTGTCGGGGCTCATTTTCGAAAAAAGTAGGACATTCACGGAGTACTCCCTAACACGCAGGGAACATCTGTGACCCAAATGCTCAGAAAACATCTCCGTACAGATGAGAGAAGAAAATGTGACTAAGGCGGTGATTCCAAAGCCAAAAAAAAAAAACCACAAGGACAAAAAAAAAAAAAAAAAAGCCCAGCTGTAGATGAGAAATTTAGCCAGTGCAGTACAGCCACTAGCCTGTGGTCTTTAACGTGCATCACGCAGTAGTGATACACAACCGCGTGCCGGTACGATGCTAATCCAGATCGAAACGGGCAGAGGTGGGAATCGAACCCAGGATCCCTGGGTTCTGCAGCGCGAAAGCCTCACGGATAGTTCGCGGAGAGGTCGTGTTGCGATCCGCACAAAATGAAAGTGCAGATAAAAGTTTTCTTCCGGCAAAGGTTGGAGTTTTTATTTTAGGACGGCTTCGACTTGGGTTTTTCAGATTTTTTCGATTTCGATAAAACCGGTTCGGGGGTCGATCTTCGGGGTCTATCGGTATTTACCGACAACACGGAACCCCAGTTACAGGGCTGGGTTTCACGGGAAAAGCGAAACATTACGCTTGACCAAGACGTGGGTCAAGGTCGTGTACGCGATATAGCCTATAGGGGCATCAATTATATTCCCCACTAAATCTAAAGGAAATATCATAACGAACCGTGATACCGCAACATCACATGACACAATGATGTTACGTGACTCGACGTGAAGTTTAAGTGTCGTGCGAGTCGCTGTGTCATGCGACATCACAATATCTCACTTCACATGACGCAGTGACATCACGAGCAATCGTGTAACACGACGACGTCGCATGACGCCGTGACATATTGTGACACCCTGATGTCACATGAGACTCGACGACATTGTGCGACTCTGTGACGTCACACACACACACACAGCGTGGGCCCAGCTCATAGGCCACGCATTCTCTTGTCTCGGAGTTCATCGGATACTCCAAACTCCTAAAACGAAGGAGCACTTTACTTGTTACGGGCAATCGGGGCAGTCTGGGCACCCCGGAGGACGAACAGAGCAGACCATGTGGTGGGGCGTTGCACTCACTGAGGCCGTTGCTTTCGAGGAAACTGCTGTGACAACTGGCCAGCAAAGGCACCACCGGTCCCACAGTCTCGCGAGGCATCAGCGTCACCAGCTCCTTCAGGACCTCTGCGCAACACAAAGGCCAGACGTCAGCGAGCAATTTTATAACATAAAGGAGCACTAATCGGAATAATTGCGCGATCACTACGCAGGAAAAGCCTGGACAGAGTAGGGGTGCCGAACGACAAATAAATGCTCTAATATTGGCCCAACGAGGTTTTTACGGGCAATTAATTTGAATCTTTGGTGAAACAAAAGAACGACAGGTGGTCCTCAACCGTTGTCTGTGCATAGCCCCAGGAACTCACCGAGGCAGAGCAGCCGGACCTGGGGTGGCACGTAGCTGTTCAGCAGGGTGAGCAGACGCCGAAGTGCATCGCCCAGCTGCGGCCAGCTCCTGAGCGAGGCCAGGGGGTCGGCCGCGGCGCTGCCGGCGGTCGCGCACGTGCTCAACAGCTCCAGCACCAGCGAGAGCAGGTCCGCCAGGTCTCCCGTCACGTGGCATGCCGTCGCCTCGTGGTACATCACATGCAGCGTGTGCAGCGCCTGGAGAGATGTTTCCTCCTTTCAATGTCGGCCCGTCACCATCACCGGCGGCGGAAGTAACGGCCTTAGTCCGGTGCCAGTGAAGAACACTCTACGGGCGGGAAACTCTAGCTGGTTCCTTGGACGAGAGACGGCAGGCATCCAGCAAGCCAGTGCGCCCGGCATTGCCCTGCCTAGAGGCTTTGGGCCTCGAGCATGATCGCACGAGGAAGCCACATAGAAATAGGACACCTTCGGAAGAGAGGGAACACATGGGCTCACCGTGTCAAAGCAGACTGTGAATGCCTGCGTTCACTGAACTATCGCTGTCAATTCTTTGCATACAGTGACAAGAGCTGCAAACATTTTTTTTGCACTATGCTTCACTGTTTTGGTGCCTCACGTAACAGCAGTGCCGCCACCAGACAACTCTTTCGAACTCAAGGAGAATTCCTACTTTTTCCAATTCACAAGCAATTTTGAGTTTCCTTAGTTAACAAACAATTCCATCTTTCCTTAATTCGCAGTACCTTCTGACTCTTCCAAATTCTGAAACAATTCTGTCTCCTCCGAATTTGCGGGCAATTTTGTCTCATACGAATTCAAAGACAATTCCGTCTCTTTCAGATTCACAAACGATTCCGACCCCTCCGAATGAACAAACGAATACGCCTCTTCCAAATTCACGGGCAATTTCTACTTTCTCTCAATTCGCCCACAATTCCGACCCTCAAACTCGCAGACTGTTCCGACTCATCCAAACAGAGGAAATATTTTTAACCCCCTCCGATCTGCGGGCCATTCTGACCCTCTCGAGCAGCACGAACCTGGAAGAGCACGGGCAGGCCTCCCCCGGCCAGGACGAGGAGCCTGTCCTGCGGGGTGGCCACGAGGATGCGCAGGGCGGCCACCAGGGTGGCCCAGCACACCCGGGGGTCCAGGCCCAGGTACAGGGCCAGGGTGGTGCGCTTGAACAGCGACACCTCGCGCTGCTCCTGGTCGCTGGCGCCCCGCGGCAGGGCCACAAACAGCTCCATCAGCTTCAGCAGCTCGCCCACCGCCTGGGAAACGGGAGCCACATCAGGGAGGGCGAGTTCTCGTGGTTTCAAGTGCGTATAATGCGTAAAATATCCATGAATTAGGACTGTTCTAGGGTGGCACTAAAGGTTGCGCCAGTGTATCCCCCAAAAACATTTAAAAAAAAAAGCAGTTAACAACCGGTTCTAATGCAGCTGATCACACATATGCAAATTTGTGAACCAGCCTTTAATATACTTAGTCTGTTGCAATATATAAGGCCTGTGGAAGAAGCTCTGCCTCTAGCGTGCGCCTGTCGCCTTCCGTCGTGTTTAGCTGTGGGCGAGCCGAAATGTTATTGAAGGCGGAAGGCTCACACCGGAAGAAGAGCTTCTGCTGCTTCTGCCATCTTCTGCAGTTGTAGTGCAAATGCAACCTTCTAAGAGCCTGTTGGAGTGACCGCACGCAGTAGACAGAGCGTGCGGAAGACAGCGATTGAAACGTGGCAGCGCTGAGCAGAGCCCCGGCACCAGCTCGCGGCAAAAGAAAACCAAACGCTCGGAACAACCTCAACCCGTTGCGGCAAAAAAGTCCGCTTTCTTTCTGCTTTTCCATCTCTGGAGAAGCCTGTAGCGCACTCGTTTCACGGAGCAGAGCGCCGCTGTATATCCAAACACGTGATGTTTTGCCCCCGCCCACAGTAAACACGGAGGAACTCGAAAAACAGGTTTGGCTGGCACTGGTGTCCAATCAGTGAGGAGATGATCGCTGCATCAGCGTTCAGCTGGCAGTCGGCCCATCGTCTTCCGTCGCTGGCACCTAACCGGATATGGTTAGGTGCCAGCCATATAACGAATTCTGTGTTGAAAAATCTCGGGGAAATACAATTTTGTTGATGCTTTCAATCAAGCTTAAGTAGAGTTTGAATTGTTGAGATATTTTCTCAATATTTCGAGATTGAATAAAGCACAACTACTTTGCAGGAAAGAAGCTTGGAACTAAAATTGTGGTTTCCGAAAGGTATACTTCTTCAAAACATTCTGCTACTTTTAAGAAGCACGTTGCACCTCAAACCGGGCTTGAAGGAAATCACTTGCAGCGGCCAGGTCTGCCGTAACCGAGTTTGATAGCATAACTCGCAAAAAAGTGTGAAGTCGGTGCCTCACCGCGGTGTAGAGGGTGGTGTACGGCGTGATGTTCTTGAAGGCCCACTGGACGTTCTGGTGGGCTGCCAGTTGGCGGGCAAAGGGTCGAGACTGCTGACAGCACAGCCGCAGGAGCCCGTAGTAGGCAGGCAGCATGCAGCGGTTGAACACCACCACGTCTTGGTCGTCGTGATCCGCTCTGCGTTACGCACACAACGGCAACAAAATAAATTCAGCAGCAACTTACCCCCAGCTTTCTTCGGTTTAGGCATAAGATACCCCCCTTAGTCCCAAATCAATCTTGCTGAGAGATAGGCCGACTTTCGGCCAATTATAGCCGGTGTGGGAGACAACATTGTCCTTCTCAACCGATTTGTATGCAGCACCATCAACACAAACGTTTTATTGATTGTTTGATCAATCTGCGCAGGAGAAAATGACCTGTCTGGATCATCTGGAAAACCTCTGCTGCATGTTATAGATGTGGAACTAAACTTGGACAGTCGCTTGAGTGTCTTTTAGTTAGTCGCTTGAAGACACTGTTCCAAACAAATAACCCCTCAAAATTAATACTGCCCTAATCTTGTTCCTTTCTGACAGTAGGAATTTTAAACACAGAGAGCTTAAGGTGCTTCCAGGCATGGGAAACACCAAAAACCAATCCTGGTAGAGAGTGAAACCTCCCCCAACCTTTAAAGGTTTCTCAAGGAGGTCTTTCCTGCTCGTATTTCTGTGTAGACTTGGTCCAAACATATGTGTGGATTTCCAACAGTTTACCCTCTCTGCTCAAGCATGCTAAAATGAATGTCAAAACTCACAGTATGTAGTTGAAGGCAATGTTCTTGGTGACGTGCGGGTTCTGCACAATGAGCTTGACGTTCTCGGGGCAGTCCACACAAGCCTGGTACCAGAACAGCAGCAACGTCTGCAACACCAGGGAGAGATTCGCCGTTGAATGAACGTCAACAACTAAAACTTCACATGAACTCATTGAACATAAGCATCACGAAAAAGGAGCTTGCCCAGTTCCATATGCTACAGTTGGTTTCCCGTTCAATGAGGCTCTACAATGTGGCTCGTCCCACCAGGTCATTGGTAACAAAGCGTTTCAAAATAAAAGATCTCAGCCTAAATGTTTCTACTCCCTGCCTCATGAATAAATAATTATTCAGGACAAAAAGTATCAAAATGGTGCCCTAGTTTGGACTTTAGGCTAAACCTCTCACACTATTACACCCTGCTGCCATCTAACCCCTTTTCTGCCTTTTTTTTTTTTGTTGTTTTCTGGTTAACATTTTTTTGCTGTGATGCCCTCACGCACATAGCAAGAGCTTATGAACATAAATAAATTAAAACAAATAGTGCCGTCTACCAAGAAGCACTTCAATGTTTTTAGAAAAAAATTAAGAGCCCTTCCACTTCACGTAAAAATGGAGGACCAGCGAAGTTGTTATTTTTACGACGTCTAAGACGACGCCTAGATGACGACGTCTAGGACAACCTCAGGACTACTTCTGGGACGACCTCGAGGACGACGTCTAGGATGACCTCTAGGACGACCTCGAGGACGACGCCTAGGACAACCTCTTGGACAACCTCAAGAATGACTTCCAGGATGACCTCGAGGACGATGCCTAGAGATGATAACGAAATAATAACAAGGAAGGCTGACTCACGCTGGTTGCCCCCTCTTTTTATTTTTATTTATTCATACTTGCCACGACCAATGGGAAGTTTTCTGTCAACATCCGCAAACACATTTTTTCCCAGATCCTAGCGCACAACAGCTTTGCTGTAATATGAATTGTTTTGAAAAGTTATTCTGGGAAATTGGAAAAATTGAAAAATTTGGCCAATGCAGCTTCGTTCATATTTTGTATTGTCCCTTTTGTGTATGGCGGTGACCACTAGAAACTAAGCTCAGTGAGGTGCCCATTGGCTTCCTCACCTGTTTGTTGTGATGGACAGGAATGGCTGGCTCTGACAGCCCCGGCTGGAACAGGCTCCAAAGGTCCAAGAAGAAAGGGCTGAACTGCAAGACACAAAGCGGAACCATGCCCGTAATCAGCGGACAAATGGCACTCTGTAGGCAGACATTGACGTCGGCACGGCACCCAGATTTCACGCTCCAATTTTTGTCCCGATTTTCATAGACGTGAAATCTCAATGAAGCTCTGATTCAGCTTCCTGAATGACGCCGCAAACTGCTTATTACCGCGACTTCAGAGTGAGATTGTAGGGGGGCTTCAGGTACACATTTAGTTCGAGCTTGCCGCAAAAATACTACTACGTGGCTAGCCGCACAAAGACTCCCGCAAAACAAGACATCCGTGCTTTTTGCTTCGGTGCTTCAGATCATCATCTCGCGGCACAAAAACGGCCAACAATTCAGGGGTCCTGGCAACATTAGAGAGAACAGAGAGCTTTCCTTATTAAAATCTTGACTTCTAGAGCCATGCTCATTTCCTCGTTCCAACCTAAAGTTGCTTTCAAGAGCCAAGTTATTAAAGACCCACCGTAATATCGCGAGAGATGCCCCATCCCTATCTTTGGCATGATTTGCTATTTTTTTCAGAAACATAGAAAGAAAGTCCACTTCCAGTAGTTGCAGGGCCCTGGCCAATGGTGACCTCGGCAAAAACGCTGTTACTTAACCACGGCGAGAGATAAGCGAACATTGCTGACTAGGAAGAACAGTCGTCTTTGGTTCCTGAGCTCATAACTTTCGAGGGTCACTAAAACTAAAACTAGCATTTTGTCACCTTTTTTTTATTTATGGTATACCGAGAGTTAGCTAACCCCTCATTTTCCTCCGATTTGCTATCAATTTTAGGTGGGCTATCTCTCAAAATATTACGGTATACCAACTTGATGCCAATCTATGGTGGTTGAATTTCACTGAAGGATGTTAATCTATTTTCCACATAATACCAATGTGATGCCATTCTGAAGCCAGTCAGACAGCAACTAGGGTCAAATCATGTCTTTTAGCTCTAGTCCTGGGATATAAGCGCCATCAAGACACTTAGGAGGCGGTTCTTTGCAAGCCTCAAGCCAATCCCAAATGCATTCCTGCCGACATAGAACCGATCAATGCTGACTTGACGCCAACCCTAGCTGCAGAACCTGCCACAAACTTCTGCTGTATGCATGCCCTCTAGACACATAGGTGGCAGTTACCTGCGAGTCTGGAACCAATCCCGAACGCATTCGTGCCGACTTAAAACCTGTCAATGCCGACCTGATGCCAACCGCAGCTGCAGAACTCACCATGAGCTTCTCCTGTTTCCCCACCAGGCAGTAAGTGAGCACGGCAAAGTAGTACATGAGTTTGGCAGTGCCATGGACGGCAGGCTCTGAAAGACAAAAAAAAAACGCCACCGTTAAGTGCTGTCCTTTTGGCGCCGCACCTCCTCAGAGGAGGAACTCGTGCCTTGACTCACCGACATACAGCTTGGCCTTTTTGAGTAGACGGAGTAGGAACTGGTACACCTGGTGCATCACAGAAACAGCTTCGGAGCTCATCTGCAACGAGAGACGAAATGCGCCATTGTACATGCGCCATTGTACTGGTGAAAGGTAGTTATGTGATTGTACCATGTTATTGTATTCTTCTACCTAATATTATTGATATTTCTCATTGAGTGCCAAAAGTATCACGCCTGTATTGTATATACCTATACAATTCCAACCATTTTTTATCATCATAGAAGCTTGAGTCAAGGACTAGGCGACTCCTTCTACTAAGTAGGTAAAGCCGTTCCTTGGATGCTGTTCAAGGAGTTTCTTGAGATTGAAAAGTTTAGAGCAACTCACAGGCAACTCCTTGTGGGGGGCCAGACCATTTCTGCCGGACCGGAATGCCTGCCGAAACTGGGAGCTGGGCACCAGTGACACCAGCAGAAGGGCCGCCACTGCGAATGGAGGGCGGGCATGTCATCACTCAAACTCGTCACTCAAATAGGCCAACCTTTTATCACAAACAATAAAACATATCTCGACCTGTCAAGCTTGCACCTGTTTTACCTTAAAGGGGCACTGACACATCAAAATCGTAATTTATTTTATTATCCGAAACGATTGAAAATGATGTCGGGACGTTGTGGGGATTGTGATCCCTCAACATTCTGTCGCGTCAGCGTTTTGGCGCGCCTTGGCGGCCGCGCCGACGTAGCGAGAGGTGGCGCCGCTTACCACTGTGAGTGGCTTCCTCCTCTCCCCCCTTGGGGCGATTTCCGTAACGGACCCCCGCACAAAGGAGATCGACGTGTCGCTCCTTGATTGGCCACTTCGCCCCCGCCGTTATCTTAAAACCAGCGGACAGGAGTCTCGCTTCTCTCTTCTTCCTGGGATTCGGCGGCGGCGACAACGGGGACCCTTCCGGCGCACCGGTGAGCGTTTACCCCGTACTTTGTACCTTTGTGAACGACCGTTCGGCCGTGGGCGATCTCCACACCGACGGCGTTCACCAACTTATAGCCGCTGTGTTGTTGTTATTTTGTTTCATTGTAAATAAACAGTTTATCACCGTTACCAACGTGACTGGTGTCTGTTTGCGCTCAACGAGCAGCATGCCACGCGAGTACGAACCCGCTTCGCGGTAGAGCGTCTCGCCGCGAACGTGGTACTCCCAAAGGCAGTGGCCCTAAGGAGAACCACAATTTGGCGCCCAACAAAAGGGCTGACGACCAGAACCCTGGTACGTCTGTGTGTGGCGACTGCTGCCGAGTGACGAGTCCTCGCGCAACCAGCGCTTACCGTGACGATGCAGACCGACTTCTCGGATTTGCTCACGCTGGCGACCGCGGCCGACGCATTCGCGCGGCCCCCACTTCAACGGGAAGCCGAAATGCCAACCCTCCAACGAGAAGCGTCCTACGGCGCACGCCTGGAGCCGAGCGTGGTTCCGACGCCATTGCGGACGGGCGCCATCGCTCCCGGATCTTCCCTGAACGCACGTGCTCCGCCGCCGGCACAAAGCGAAGCCTACCGGTCTCCCCACGGAGAAACCGCTGCGGCGCCTCACCACACCTTGCTCGAAAACGCGGCACGTGTGATTGAGAGTCTGACAGGTGCGTTGCGAACGACAACACTCGCACCACAGGCCCAACGACCTCCGGTCCGGATTCCCGTCCCGACTTATCGGGGTTACGCAGACAAAGCGAGCGCTACGGACTTCCTTAACGATTTACGGAAGTACCAACGCGCGATGGGAATGTCCGATCGTGAAATACTTGAGCGCATTCTGCCAATCGCGCTCGTCGACGAAGCCGCCCGCTGGTTCCGACTTGTCGGTGACCAACCCGGAACGCTCGATCAGTTCCGAGAAGCGTTCCGCCGCGAATTCCTTCCCGCCGACTACGAGAGAAGGATGCGGCGGGAGCTCGAACAGCGAACCCAGCATCCGGACGAGTCCCTGCTGGAGTTCGTACGAGCCATGCAAGAGCTCTTCGAGCTCGCAGAACCCTCAGCTCCCAATGCAGAGCGAGTGGAACGCGTCATACGCCAAAGCCATCCGACTTTCGCTGCGTATCTTCGAGGCAGCCGTTTCCGCGACCTGAACGAGCTCGCCTCCGAGGCCCGGCGCCTTCAGGGTGACATTCTCGCTGCCCGTGCGTACCGGCCTCCGCCTCCAGCGTCAGCGGCCCTCGAACCGCGCTGCGCGTGGAGCGGGGACACGCCATCTCGAGCACCAAGGCGCTACGATTCCGCAAACTATGCGGAAGATCGGGGCCGAGACACGTACGCAATCTCAGATCGTGCGCTCGACCCGTACTCCTACGGTAGACGAACAAGCCGGCCGACGCCGCAGTTCAGAACCACCGACTCGCGCCCCAACGAGGCAGCGAGGCAGGAGGAAACGAGGATCCCTCAATCTCAGCGAGCCGATTCACGCTACGACAGAGCCGGCGACAGCCAAAACGCACGGCGGAACCCCCAGCGAGGCGACGACAGAAGATGTTTTCGGTGCAATCGCCCCGGTCATCTCGCTCGCCAGTGCCCGGAGCGGCCGAACACGGAATCGCACCGTGCGGGAAACGAGCAAAGCCACCGGTAAACGGCCCTTGGACGGACGGACCGGTGGCTAACAAAGAATCAGAGGGTCCTATGGCCACTCTTTTGCCGACCGCCTACAGAATAGGCTTCCCGACCGGCACGCCGGCCCCGTTCATTTCTGTGACGATCGCCGGCAAGCCATTCAAGGCACTCCTCGACACCGGAGCAAGCGCTTCGATGTTCGGCGACGAAGTGTTGACTCACCTCCGACAGAATTCTGTCCGACTCCGAGAATGCAACACTGCCTTTCGCCTAGCCTGCGGAACCGCCCTTTCGGCTGGTACCGCGCGGCTGGTCGCGAGATGGGAGAATCGAGTAAGACGACAACGCTTCGTTCATCTCCCTGGCCTATCGGTGCCCATTATTTTGGGCAGAGACTTCCTTGCCAAAACAGGCATTGTAATCGACGTCAGCAGCGCAGGCTATCGGGAGGGCACTTTTGCACCCCTGAAACCCTTCTGCGAACCCCCGGCCGTACCGCCAACGCCACCATTGGCGCACGCGACGAGCCGTCGAGAGGAAGCGAGGGACTCCCTAAACCGGGTCATTGACCCCAAGACACCGAGTCCAGCGCCGATGGCAGCGAGCGCCGCCCCCATCGGGGAAATGACGCACCCACTGCTCACGCAATCATGCAGCGTGTCCGGGCGAGAAAAAGCCCAACTGTCATCGTTGTTGCGCCGCTATGACGCAATGTTCACGGACCGACCGGGCTGCACAAACGAAGTGCGACATCGGATTGACACGGGCGACGAACTGCCCAGAAGGCAGAACGCGCGACCTGTAAGCTTGGCTAAACGAAAAGCCATCGACCGTGCCCTGGACGAAATGATCGACACCGGAGTTGTCCGGCGATCTAACAGCCCCTGGGCATTCCCCGTGGTGCTGGTCCCGAAGAAAGACGGCAGCTCACGTCTTTGCGTGGACTACCGCCGTCTCAACGACGTCACACGAAAGGACGCCTACCCGCTACCGAGCATCGACTCGATTCTGTCCAACTTGGGCAGTGCGCGGTACTTCACCACCCTGGACGCTAGCCGAGGCTACCTCCAGGTTCGGATGGAGCCAGGTGACGAGGCAAAAACAGCCTTCTGTTGTCACCGCGGGCTTTTCGAATTCACGCGAATGCCCTTCGGTCTGTGCGGAGCGCCTATGACGTTCCAGCGATTGATCGACCGAGTACTGGGAGAAGCCAAATGGAAACACGCAATGGCCTATCTCGACGACATTGTCGTCTACTCCAACACCTTCGAAGATCACCTACGCCATCTCGAGGACGTACTGGACCGGCTAAAAGCCGCGGGAATGACCCTGAACCCCGAAAAGGCTCAAATAGCCGAAACCCGCATCGCCTTGCTCGGGTTCGAACTGGATCGCGGGCGCCTTGCGCCACATCCCGACAAACTACAGGCAATCCTGGAGTTTCCTGCGCCAACCGACGTGAGCTCCCTCCGTCGCTACCTGGGAATGGTGAACTTCTATCGCCAATTCATCCCAAACTGCGCGACGCTTCAAGCACCACTGACACGCCTATTGCGAAAGTCCGTGAGTTGGAGCTGGGGTCCCGAGCAGGAAGCGGCCTTTCGCCGCACCTCCCGAGCGCTCGCGGACACAGCTGAACTCAAGCTACCCGACTTGAACAAGCCCTTTCTGATCCAAACAGATGCCAGCAATCTTGGCTTGGGCGCGGTCCTGCTCCAACTGCACGAAGGTGTACTCCGACCGGTGGCCTTCGCCAGCCGCTCGTTGACGCCAGCTGAAAGGAACTACAGCACATGCGAACAAGAGTGCTTGGCCATCGTCTTTGCACTCCGGCGCTTCGACATTTATGTCGACGGGACCACGTTCGTGATCGAAACAGATCACCAAAGCCTAATATGGCTCTCCCGACTTCGCGAACCCGCTGGTCGCTTGGCAAGATGGGCTTTGATGCTGCAAAAATACGACTACGTCGTGCGGTACCGGAAAGGCAGCACAAACGTGGTGGCGGACGCATTGTCACGAGCCCCCGTAGACTGCACACAGATTTCCGCAAAGACCCAGGCCGAGCCAACGACATCCACATTGTCAGGCGAAGCCGTGACTCAGTCCCAAAGGGAGGCAGCAGATCTGACCACCCCGGACGAGACGATCAACCACCTAGACGCAGTGAGCGCCGTGGGAATCGTGTTCAGCAAAGAAGAGCTTCTGAAAGCCCAGCAGAATGATCCGTTTTGTCGAAAGGTGATCGACGGACTCGCGGAAGAGTCGGACGCCGTGGAGGCGGGCGGTGCGACCGCCGGGCGCAACACTACTGGTATTGTAGTAGGCGCCGAGTGCCGGGACGCATCTGGTATTGGTGCGGGCACGGAGGATTCATATCTGCTGAGCAATGACGGGCTCTTGCTGAGGTACATACCCTCCGAGAACGACTCCGACGAGGCGTTCAAGGTAGTGGTACCCCGCAGTCTGAGAAACGCAGTTTTGCGCTACTATCACGACTCGCACTTGGCCGGACACGCGAGCGGCTCCAAGACTTACTCAAAGTTATGTCGCATCGCCACCTGGCCGGGCATGAAACGGGACGTTTTCCGTTATGCCCGCACCTGCCACTCTTGCCAAAGCTTCAAACCGAGAGGCGGCAAACCCCCGGGCCTAATGCAACCGATTCCGAGCCAGCAATCATGGTCTCTGGCAGCCTGCGACGTGGTCGGCCCCCTACCGAGGAGCCCTAAAGGACACCAGTATCTGCTGGTTGTAACTGACCACTTCAGCAAATGGACGGAACTTTTTCCACTCCGTAAGCTGACAGCCCGAGCGATAACGGAGAAGCTCATGGAGGTTTTCACCCGTTTTGGATTCCCCGAAGCTCTTTTGA